TTCTAAGTAGTTATCAACTCCGAACAATACAAGCAACTGTGTGGGCTTAACAACTCATCGAAAATAGTCTACGCTAATTGCAGTTTACTCTCATGCCTGCAGAAATTATGGTCTTTAGATTTTTCTGATACTGAAATATTTAGTCAGATTTATCTTCTGTGCTTGTGCATGGTTTCAGGTTATTAACAAATGGATAGATCAAGTTAGAGCAAGAACAGGTAATTGTGTCTTTTCATTTTCTTACGTGTTAAAAAGTGTCACTGTATATTTTTTGTAAAATTTATACTAACGGATACTCTGAGAACTAATTTTTAAGTGACGGTAAGGAGGACGAAGAGGATGACGTCAATCGAATGCTGTTCTCGGCAATAGATCGCAACAACCGATCGAGATTATTGATGCATTTTAACAAGAATTCGCCCTTTACTGCCATCTTTTTCTTCATATGTTTATGCGTTGTCGGGGACCATAGATAAGAAACCACCCACAACATCAATATGAGCGGAGGATGAACTGGATGCGGGGTAGCACAACGTGCAATCAAATGAACTGAAAATAATGTCGATCACAACCTGCACCTGATTGACACCAGACCTGGAACCCACTTGCGTATGCGTAGCCGGAGCGTAATGTGGTTGTATATAGTTCAAATTTAAATGTATACATGTTTGATTGGACATTGTTGCAATTTCAAAGAGTCATTCTAAAAGCAATATGAACTGAAAGTAGTGTTGTGCCAAAAGCTGTGTCGAGGAACCAAACCAAACGCCAATCTAAGAGAGCCAAACGAACTAAATAGTGTCGAGGAACCAAACCAAACGCCAATCTAAGAGAGCCAAACGAACTAAATATCAATGCACAAACAAAATACCAATTTTAACGTGGTTCGGCAAGTTGCCAATGCACAAACAAAATACCAATTTTAACGTGGTTCGGCAAGTTGCCTACGTCCACGGGGCAAGAAGGGATGGGGTTTTCACTAATAGAGAAGAAGAGTACAAATTGAGATTACACGAAGGAACAAACTAATCTAACCAACAAAAACTCTAAATCTCTCCAAACAAAACCCTAACCAAAAGCTCAAAAAAATACCTCTTTTTGTGCTCCAAATATCCCTCAATTAATGCTTAATCAAAGCCTAAACAAAGCCAAAGAAACCCTAAAAAACATGTCTCTATTTATAACAAAACACAATCCCAAACTGATTGGGATTCTAAAAACGAGTCTGCCACACCTTGGTGTGGCACATACCACACCCATGGTAAACAGGACAGATTCTGCCACACCAGGGTGTGGCAGACACCACACCCATGACAGACAGGACAGATTCTGCCACACCAATGGCAGACACCACACCAGGGTGTGGTGGAGCCTATTTTGCTTATTCTATACGTTTTTCTCAATTTGTTCCTCAATTCCTTCGCCGTTTTCACAATTCTCCACCTCGGCGAAGTTTTCCCAAAACTGAGCCGACACCAACCAAAACAAATGCCTCACTTGTTGCATCCAGTACGCCACGGTAACGGACTCATGACAACGGACTCTATCCACACAAGTCGAGACCCAAACGGGAGTGCGAACACTGACCCAAATGTCGGTATCTACTTACCAAATCGGCTACATCAAAACTGACTGCCTACGTATCCTATTGCCCAAGGAATCAAGCATTCACGTAGTTCACCCAAACGGTCTCCAAAGGCCCTCAAACAAATAGAAAAGTCTACAACTCTTCCCCAATATCGCCAACGGATCTGTAACTGATAGCGGTCCCAAACTGATACAAATCAAACACCTTCATCTGAGGTGAACCAATGGCCGTATCCAAATCATGTCCACCAGCTACAACCGAATCCAAAACCAATCCATCATCTGCATCCGAAATCAAATGATCCCCAACCTATGTCACCTCAGCTGGAATCCTAAATGACGTAGTATGATCTGGAGTATGTGGAATAAGTTCCACCCAACGTGAAGTAGCATCACCCTCCACCTGTTGCGATATCCAAACGACCTGATCAACACTCTCCACCTGCTGAGAGTCAAAAGTGACATTCCTGTTCAGAACAAAATCAGAAGCTCCCAAACGATAATCAAATGAGCCTCCGAATCCCAAACGCGCAATCAGATCAAATCTCACATCCTCGATGTGACCAAATACTGGGTAACCAAATATCCGACGCCGACCAAAATCTGAAGCAGCTCCACCAGATCCAATAAGTCCTAATACAGCAGTTGGCGACCTATGACTAAGATGACCCAAATATGTCGAAGCTCCAGAACCAATGCTCGACAACCAACGCCGATCCTCCTCCAGAAAGGAACGACCCATCGAAACTGTCATCTCATCTTGTCGCCCCAAAGTCTCTACACCAATGAAGTGTCTCCTATTGTCGTGAGCTCGGCACAAACGTAAGAAAGGACCCCTACCAAAGCTAGAACAACGAGTTACCTTTCTGCCAATACACTTCTTCCAATTGTTATTGACTTCTAGGACTTTACACCAACGGGAACTGGTCGCGACCCAATAATGCCTAGAACAATCACCAACTGTGAAAACTACAAAACGATTACCTCCCAATGATGTCTCCTTGGAAGGCCTCCAAATGCCTAACTGAACACCTCCTAAAAGACCCCTCGCTCGATGGATAGGAGTGCCAAACTCCACCTCGGTCTTGCTCATCCCAATATACTCAAAGGACTTCCATCTGCAGGTCAAAGCACTCCTCAACAACCTATGCACGACATCACCAATCAAATACCCCAGCACCAAACAACGCCACAATCTAGCCAAATCCAATGAAGTCGTCAGAGCTCTATCGACGCTCTTCATCACAATCATGGACTCAAATGTAACCTTCAAGCGTGCATCCGCCAAGGTCACCTTATAGCTTGCTGCCTCCAAAGCTCCAAGTGAAATGATGTTCTTCTTCAACTGAGGAATGAACCTCACTCCAACTAACTCCCGAACTACCCTGTCACTCATCCTGATCCGAACGGTACCGATATCACTAATAGAGCATTTGTGATCATTCCCCATGAGCAAAAATCCCCTCTTTCCAACTCCTGAAAGCTGGATAACCAATCCCTCCTAGGGTAAATATGGTATGTAGCGCCTAAATCCAATATCCACTCTGTAGAGTAGGCAACATAAACTGATGGCAGTGCAGATAATGAGTAGCCTGAAGAATCCGAATCTGAATTGTTACCACTAGTCTTGACAATATTCACCTCTGAAGCTTGTACAGCTTTCCCCTTATTCTTCCCGGCTTGATCATTCAACTTTGAGCATTCAGCTTTCCAATATCCATCTTCTTTACAAAAAGCACACTAATTCCTACGAATTCTAAGATGTGCTCCTCTAGAATGTGACCTTCTACCTCGGTTTGGACCCTTTGCTCTTGTAACCAATGCCCCCGCTACCGGCTCAATAGAAGTCTCCTTGTCCTTCTTCCTGAGTTGGTAATTCACTAATACAGCGGTGATCTCACTATATGAAAGAGATGCATTCCTATTAATAAGAGTAAGAACAAACTCATATTCCTCGTCGGGTAAGGAACTCAACAATAGCAACGCCTTGTCCTCATCTTCAACAATGACATCTACATTCGTCAAATCTGCAAGAAGCTTCGTGTAGTGGTTCATGTGATCACTAATGGATGTCCCCTTCTTCAATTGGAAGCGATAAAGCCTCCTCTTCAAATGCAAGCGGTTTTCAACGCTCTTCGTCAAGTACTTTCTCTCTAGGACCTCCCAAATCTTCTTCGCAGAAGTCTCATTCATCAAATCATATTTTAGATCTTGAGTGAGACAAGACCTAATCACACCACACGCTGTCTGATTCATCTTTTTCCAAACCTTCTCATCAATATCGTCCTGTTTCCCATCCAACTCCAACGTATCTTCCAAATTCTGCGCATTGAGCGCATCCAAGACTTCGCATCGCCAAAGTCCAAAATTATTAGTGCCATTGAACTTCTCCACGTTAATCTTCATCGAGTGGATACTCAAACTTTGGACAGTCTTCACACCTGAAGAACTACCCTCAACTTCCTCTTTCTCGGCCATAATCCTCAACACACCAACAACCAATGCGGAAACAAACGAAGAATAGATCCAAAACTGAGAAAAGAAATAAGCTTTACCAAAAAGATCACACCTTTCTCACCAACTGAAACCCTAGACGAGCTTCCCAAATCGATCTACTCCTCCAAATAGCCCAAACGTAGCCCGAGCTCTGATACAAAATTATTGTGCCAAAAGCTATGTCGAGGAACCAAACCAAACACCAATCCAAGAGAGCCAAACGAACTAAATATCAATGCACAAACAAAACATCAATTTTAACGTGGTTCGGCAAGTGGCCTACGTCCACGGGGCAAGAAGGGGATGAGGTTTTCACTAATAGAGAAGAAGAGTACAAATTGAGATTACAAATCACTCGAAGGAACAAACTAATCTCACCAACAAAAACTCTAAATCTCTACAAACAAAACCCTAACCAAAAGCTCAAAAAAAATACCTCTTTTTGTGCTCCAAATATCCCCCAATCAATGCTTAATCAAAGCCTAAACAAAGCTAAAGAAACCCTAAAAAACATGTCTCTATTTATAACAAAACACAATCCCAAACTGATTGGGATTCTAAAAACGAGTCTGTCATACCCTGGTGTGGCACACACCATACCCATGACAAACATGACAGATTCTGCCACACCAGGGTGTGGCAGACACCACACTCATTACAGACAGGGCAGATTCTGCCACACCCATGGCAGACATCACACCAGGGTGTGGTGGAGCCTATTTTGCTTATTCTACACGTTTTTCTCAATTCCTTCCTCAATTCCTTCGCCGTTTTCACAAGTAGCGGAGGTAGCGTCGGTTCAAATTGAGAAGCATTCCAAAATCAGAAGTCGAAATTACACGATTTCAACACGTTTTGCACTCCGAATACACCGTGAAGTCCTCATATATTGATGCACACATTGTACCACACCACACTTGATCCACACGCAATTATTCTTTTAGGCATAAAAAACAGGTCATAGATACCCATACAGATTTTCAACAACCAAGCTCCTGAGTAGCTCAAGAGACTTTACAAATTGCGCTACAGCTCGCATGCAGAGACACATAAACGAGAACACTACAAACTTTGCGCACCTACGACAATCAGTAGACATCCACAGGCAACGGCGCAAAAGGCACAGGGCACAAGCACAAATCATACTTGCGACGTGCACCCAACCCGCTGATCTCGCTCATATCCAGCTTCGCCATCCCCTCCGGCATCCTCCAATCGAAATAGCACAACAAGTTCGCGAGTGCGATCTCCATGCCAACCAGTCCAAACATAATCCCAGGACAAAGCCTTCTCCCCGCGCCAAACGGTATAAACTCGTAATTAGTCCCCTTGAAATCCACCGAACTCTCCTCAAACCTCTCGGGCTTGAAAACCTCGGGCTCGGGCCAGAACTCCGGGTCCCTCGCCATCGCGTAGGCGTTGAAGACAACCAGGGTTTTGAGGGGGATGTCGTAGTTGTGGATTTTGAAGGCGTCGGTGGTGAGGCGAGGGACTAGGAGAGGGGCAGGAGGGTGGAGCCTTAGGGACTCTTTGATGACTAGCTTGAGGTAGTGGAACTGTTTGATGTGGGCTTCGGTTATTTTTGGGCTGTTTCCGACGACTTGCCGCACCTCGTCTTGGGCTTTCTTCATGGCGGCGGGGTTGCAGATGAGCTCGGACATGGTCCATGTCATGGCGGAGGCTGAGGTTCCGCTGCCTCCGGCGAATATGTCCTGTCGGAAAAATAAATTAGCTAGTTTAGATTTTTTTTTTTTAAGTTATAAGATGGGTCAGTAGCATGTTATGAAAAGTGCATTGCACTTGACTGCTAGTGACAAAAATACCCCAGTGTGACTTCAATGATCAACAAGGCCAACTCTGCTATCACAATTAATATTGTGAAACAAGGAGAGAAAAAAAAACATTCAAGTGCTGAAGCAAGAAAAACTACTTACGAAAAGCACTGCCTTCATGCTAGTATGATCAAGCTCCAGATCATACCCACCCTCATCCCTTATCTTGCACAAAACATCTAATATGTTCTCCACCTCGCTCTCTCCTCGTCTGCCTCCTCCGTCGACGTCCTCCGCCTCCTTCGCTATTTGTTCTCTCCGATCATCGATCACCCCCTGCAGAATCCCATCCACCTTCTTATGGCACCTATCGATCTTCGTCGTCATCCCGGTCACCAAGCCGATAAACCCCGCCATCGACGGGAAAAGATCTACAGCGTTGAAACCGCTCGCTAGCTGCAAACTTTCTTTGAATGCGTCGAGGAAATCTTTACCGTGTTTGCTTCGCTTGCCGAAGGCTACCCTTGCGATTAGATTGTTCGTGTAAATGTGGAATAATTCGGAGAAATTCACGGGTGTCGATGCAAGGCGATGGTTTTCAACGATGTTCAGTAAGTCGACTGTTTCGATCTCTCGGGCTGATTGGTATGACTGCACGCGCTTAGGGCTCATGAGCTCCATCACGAATAGTCGACGAACCTGTTGAAAATTGTAACAATCATTACCTTTGTCAATCTACTAAATAAAATTATTATGGGCACAATGTTGTGTACTAGTAGAAACTTGATCAAGCATCACATGCAGATGGAGTATTCTAGACTGAAAGAAATCCATCCATGATCATGGCATCTTAGACGGAATTTTTTTCTTCTGCGGATGTTTTGTCCGCAGAAATAGGGAACAAACATCCTAGACATACATCCACAAACAGAATTTAATTTTTTTTCAACGCAGCGAAAAGCTGTCTAAACTTCATATAATGAGAGAAACGACGATGAAAAAAAAAGATAACAGGAAAAATTTTCTTTCAGTTTTCTTCCTCACACCGTAATCTCAAAATCTTTTTTATTTTTTTCATTTTCAAATTGATGGTATGATAGAAAAGAGATTACGCTATTATTAGGTACGCTAATTGTTTGGACGAACAAATTTTCAAAACAGCCCTGGTCTAAAAAGATTTTTATTTTTTAAAATCGACCCGATTTTTTTTATTTATCAAAATCGACCCACTTTTTACCACGTGGGCTTAATGACGTTCCTAAATAGTCGGGGTTGGCAACCCCGACTGTTTAGGAGGGTGTTAAAACCTAATTAGAACCTTTAAACCCGAAATTTTCATGTCCTAAACAGTCGGGGTTGGCAACCCTGACTGTTTAGGAACGTCATTAAGCCCACGTGGTAAAAAGTGGGTCGATTTTGATAAATAAAAAAAACAGGTCGATTTTGAAAAATAAAAAACTTTTTGGGGCCGTTTTGAAAAATTCCTCTTGTTTGGACTGATCGTAGGGGGCTGGCATTAATTTATATTTTAATTAGTAACCTTTAATTTATTTTGAAGATAATTAATTAAGTCTACATCTAATTAATTAAACCTTCTTATAGTACTCGCCAAACGGAGCAAAGAGCATGTCAATGGGACCATAAAGAATAACATTGGCGGCCGCGATATTCTCAGCGCCTCGACGCCGATAGCTAATATCGTGATATCTGAATGAACTCTCTCGCGCAACGTGGCCGCCAGCGGGCGCGGGGGGGAGCCGGCAGGTGACGACAACCGCCGCCGGGATCTGACCGCAGCTGGAGCGCCATGCATGTACGGCGCCGTGCGATTTTGAGCAGCGCGACCCACAGGCGGTGCGTGCGCCGCCAGCTCGGCTCCGCATGGACGCGTGCGTGGAGGCTGCCGCATGGCACGCGCCGGAGTTTCCGTGAGGCCGCCCCGTGGCGAGCTTCAGGCGGTCTAGGGCTTTTGAGCGGAGGCGCAGGAGCCGCGAGTTGCGCTGGAGCGAGGAAGGTGGCGATGAAGAGGAGGGAGTAGAGGAAGAGTTCCATGATGGAGGTGATATATATGATATAAAGATTTGCTCATGCATAAATGCTCCAACACTACATTACTATATATAGGCAGATTTGGAGAAGCATAGGGCATCCTCTATAGAAATCATGCAGGCGGGGAGATTGAGATGCATGTCATGTGCTGGTAAAACCCTGCCAAAAAAGTTGTAGGGTTAATTGCACTCTCACTCCCTGTACTAGTGTCACTGTTTTGAATTGTTTTTTTTTTAAACCAGAAGCCACCTTATAGAGTAACCACACAAAAATCGCCTTTCACTTTTAATTTATACATAAATCATTTTTTTCTTTTTATCGCGCTTTTGGCGTACATGGGAATCAAACCCAGGGGCCTCCGACGAGGAAGCGACACGGCTTTGCCATGTGGTGTACTAGCATAAATCATCTTTAAAGTTGGTTTTTGGTGCAATCAGCAACTTTCCATCCACAATTTTCACTGAAAATCCGAATTACCCTTAAAAACTCGCGTTTAAGGTACGTGGTCTATTTTTTTATTCTTTAGATCTTGTTAGGGCACAACTCAAGTACCTTGAACTTGAATTTTTAAAGACTTTTTTAAAGTGAAAATTTGACTGAGAGATGGTTTATTGTAACAAAATTCTACTTTAGAAGAGGTTTAGGTATAAAGTGAATATGAAAGATGGTTTTGTATAATCACTCTATTTTTAATGTGGTTGTAAGCTGTCAAAAAAAAAAATCACAACAGATAGCTTATCCCCATCAAACATCAACAAGGGGAGTTATAATTCAACGATTTCCAGAAGGCTACAATTTGAAGACTTTCACGTAGATCGATGAATGTTACAAATCGATGATCTTCACGACAACCGATGAAAGCTCTGATCAATGGTCCTCACAACTAATAATGAGAGTTACAATCTAACGATTCTCACATTTTAAAGAGCTAAAGTGAAGATTGCAAAACAAACGATTGTCGCGACGCTCTGACAAAAGAGATTACAAGTCAACGACCTCTTCAATCCAAGACGCATAACTCATCCCTGCATCCCAGAGGTGAAACACAAGTGATTGAGTTCTAGAGTCAAAGCAACGCAATTATTGCATTCTCAGCTATCAACGCAGCTCAAACACAGCATAAACGCAGTGTTTTCAGCTGCTAAACACAGTACCAACGCAGCTTCCAGGCGCTGCGCTCACCATCGCGAACGCGACACAATCACAGACACAGACGCAACATGATCGTAGCCATGGACGCAACTCAAGCCCACGGACACAACTCAAGCCCACGAACGTAGCTCAAGCCCACAGACGCAGCTCAAGCTCGGACGCTGACACATCATCTAAACCATGCGTTCAAACGCAGGTTCATGCCCAAAACACAAATCAAGGCATTTTACTCGTTCAAACATGAGTTGAACGGTTCCGAAACCGTTTCCCACGATTTGAGGGCGGTTACACCCCACTTAGGAGTGATTTAAGGGGCGGTTACACCTCCTTAATCCCTTATAAATAAGAGGAAAGTAAACCGAGTTAGTGGTTGGAATTTTTTGGATCAGAAACGGCCTGAAGGGATCAACATTATTCCTCAACGGAGATCATCTTCAACTTCAGCAACGAGGAGCTCGTTCTTGGCTATAACCGACTTTCGGTTCAAATCAACTCTTTTACAATAGTTTAAACTCTCTCTGAGTTCCTAAACTCGTTAAGAGTTAATTTTAAACTTGCTTTACAAGTTCTCCATAACGTCAAATCATAAGGAGAAGATATCATTCCAGTGAAGTGAGACGTTCAGATCGTCAACAACGAGAAGCAAACTCGATGCGAGTTTCGAGGGAGGCATCTCATCGACACCAAGAAGGACCCAGAATTAAACAAAGGGGAAGATCTCCGCCGATCTTCTTCTCTTTTGTAATCGAAAATTTAAATTGTAATCAGTTAAAGATTAAGAGAATTGTAAATATTCTTTTTCTAAGCAATTAGAAGGAATAAATCAAATTCAATTCTTTTATTTTCTTATTGCAAATTTCCCACGAACAGTGGTGTCTGGGGGGAAAACACCTTATGAATTTACTATGCATGCAGTTCCTCTGTTGCAACTGACACCCAAGCGAAATCTTTTTGACTATTGTATCCTACAGATAAATCACTAAATTGTGTCAGCACTTGCTTTACATGTGTCGGCTGGCGACTAGCTGCGTGATCGACGCTGACATGATGTGATGTTTGGCACACGAAGCACAATATGGCCCAATAAGTCATGAAGACTATTGGGGGGGCAGAGGCATGATGATGCTTGACAATCATTGATGAGATACTAACATGTTGTCAGGGGGAGAGGCTCGAGGCTAAAGTCGTCCTCTAACTTGGCCGAGAAATGACGTCTCTCGTGACGACCTCGTAGGGGAGTCGAGTGGACTGGGTTGAGTGGGTTCATGGTGAGGCACCTTCGACAAAGGGGGTCGTACAAGCTTCACCTTTCGAGTCGTTCTAAGGGGATGTCGACTCGGCGAGTCAGCTAAGGGAAGATCCTTGCTGATCTTGGCCGCCAATTTATTTGGGGCGTTGCATACAGAAGTACACTTGTACTGGTGAAGGGCTACACTTTGGTGATTGAGAACACCATAATAGGAACGTTAGGTCCACTCATCCATATCACAACACTTTAGATGCAATTTGGTTCCTCATCTTTACAATATTACTATTTACAAGCTGGTAAGATACAAACAACAATTTATCAACACAAATGTGTACATTTGCACCAGTGTCTACCAACCATTCATTTGGTTCATAAATATATAGTAACTCAGGGTTAATAGAAACATATATTTTGATGGATCCAACAAGCTCAGCCATAACCATGTTAACCTGAGGCACGCTGGTAGACCCTGGATTGACTTTAGCTTTCTTTGTAGGATAAGCTTTTGCCCAATGTTCAAGTTGTTCGTAATTTAACATGGTTTGTTTTCTTTTAGTTTCTTTTGGATTTTAGGTTTTACTTTGATTTTGTCATCAGATTTGCCATTAGGTTTGTTTTTAAAACTTTTTTTCCAGAAGTTATAACATTTTCTTTGAGTTGGTGCTCAACAGACATAATATATTTCTGTTTCTTATGCTCTTCCTCAATTGCTATGGTAATCATTAAGTCATCGAGATTTGTTTTTTCTTTCGATGCTTGAGAGACATTTTGAAACTCTCCCAAGAATGAGGAAATTTCTCGATCATTGCATTAACCTGAAATTTTTCAAGAAGCTCCATTTCAGCTTCTCGAAGAGCATGAAGAATCAACATAGAGAGAGTGACTCGGGGATGTGGAAGGGACTTCTCAAGGTTAGAAACATGATGATAATCAAATTTGGTAATGCTTAAAACATGCAGAAAACTATTGAAGGTTGTTGCATTAATGGCAAAATTCAGTTATCCCTGATCTACAATACTTTATCTCAGCCTCTTAATTCAGTCGCCTGGGCGAATACTACTTGGGGGGGTCTTCATTATCCTAAGCACTCATTCATATTTTGGTTAGTCATTCATTCCAGATTGCTCACCCAGGAAAGACTGTGTCGATTGCGATTACTTGACATAAATAATTGTGTCCTGTGTTCTAGCCACTTGGAAAACTACAAACACTTGTTCTTTGAATGTCAGTACTCGGCTGATGTTTGGAACAAGGTGATGTATTGGATGGGTTTCACATGGAGATCTTGTAATTGGAACCTACTCATCAACTGGTATTCTCACAATTTAAAAGGAAAGGGATTCAAAAGGAACATGAAGCGAATGGCTCTCTCGGTTACAACTTACTCTATCTGGCAGGAGAGAAATGCAAGAATCTTTCAAGGGAGAGCTAGGGGGTCTGATATGCTTGTCCGATCAATCAAGTTTTCCATTAAATGCAAGAATCTTTCAAGGGAGAGCTAGGGGGTCTGATATGCTTGTCCGATCAATCAAGTTTTCCATTTATGCTAAAGTTTTGAATGAAAATATACAGGGGGTCTGATATGCTTGTCCGATCAATCAAGTTTTCCATTTATGCTAAAGTTTTGAATGAAAATATACTCATTCATATGCAGGAAGAATTGGAAAGTATGTAAAAATTTGTTCCTTGCGCACCGGATTTAATCTGCTTCTTTGATGTACAACACAATTTTCATAGTTGGGATGTGAATAAAGTTTAATTCGTTGACCAAAAAAGAGCAAGAAGAATGAATAGAAGTTCATATGCTTGTTCTATCACAGATTTACCCTTGACCAGTTGAAACTTTAAGAACTTGAATGCAGAATATTTTTTAAGACCGAGGTCTTCAATATTATATTTTCTGTCCAGTCCATACCATAATGCCTTTGTGGTTGCTGAAGAAGAACAATAGACATCGAAGAGCATGTTGGACATTGCTAACAAAATGCATCCTCTAGCTATTTGATCCTTCTCCGTTCACTGTGTAATTTTATATGCACTATTGGGATATTTTTCATCCAGTTTTGAGTATTCTGACATTATCGTTGCCAACAACCCCTTAGTCATCAGCCAAATCTTTATATGTTGCTGTCAATGTTTGAAGAACTGACCCGCGAATTTTTCTAACATTCTAGACATGTGCATTTTAGGGGCAAAGACACCAGAACTAACTCCTGAAACAGAAAACATAATTTCATATGATAATAATTTCTTCAAGATTGTTAGGAAAAATCTATATACTATTACTAAAAGTTGTTACCCTTCAATTCGCCACTTGGCAAAAATGCCACTTGGCAAAAATGGCCCATACCATTTTAAACAACACTTGGCAAACATATCAATTGTGGCAAAAATGCCACTTGGCAAAAATGGCCCATACCATTTTAAACAACA